GATCTACGGTCGTCGGCAGAACGGGGAGAAGGCAGGTGAAGGGGCGCGACTGTCAGGTTGCCGCCACGTGTCGTGCGTTAAGCGATCGTAGGGGCGGCTACCCTATGTCATTAATGAGCCTAGGGTCGCTTCGAGTCCCGCGCCGGGTTATAAATATGGGGGTCCCCGCTCATTCTGCTACTTTACACTCTGCCGTTGTGTCTGCTAAGCTTTGTCATCTCTGCTCGTCCGCCGCTTGCCGTCGATCACCGCCGCACCGTTTGATCTTTCCTTCCGTCCGCCGCCGTTACAAGTGAGTTCTTCTTTTCCCTCCTTTTTTATTTCCGTCGTTTAATTGGAATGTGTGTTCGGGGCATGATGAATGCCCCGAGGAGGGACGCGAGACCCGCCGTGTCTGGCGACCTTTCTGATGAGTGTCTCGGGGAGGATAGGCTGGTTCCGATGAATGTCCCGAAGACGGGGGCTTTCTCCGATGAATGCCCCGAGGACGGGGGGCTTTCTCCGATGAATGCCCCGAGGACGGGGGGTTTTCTCCGATGAATGCCCCGGGGACAAGTGCCCTTTCCGATGGCTGTCCCGAGGGGGGATGATGGGTCGGCCTTTAATTCCCCGAGGAGGGTAGACGAGGAGCGAGTGTTTGTTCGTCGCTTTCCGGCCTTTGTCGCCCTTTCACTTGACTTGCGGTGGAAGGGTGGATTTGATCCTGGCTATCGAATTCACCGTTGTCCTCTGCTTTCAGGTGTAGATGTCGGCTCTGGTACCGGGGATAATGGTCGAAGACAATGAACCTGAGATTCCGGAGTATGACGATGAGCGTATTGCCCCGTCCGAGGAATGGGCGACCGAGGAGCCGCTTTCTACTCCTTCTTGTTTTGTGGCCGACGCCTCCGACGTGTACGCCACGGTTGAGGACACGCCTATAGGAGAGCCGCAACACTGACAGGTGTACCGACCAAAAGAACATCACCGCATCTGCTCGCGATATGGGCGGCGGATGTTCCCGATGCATGAGTTCTACTTTAAAGAAGCTCGGCTCCGGTTACCGTTCTCCGCCTTTCATCTGGGGCTTTTTGACTGGTTGCACCTTGCCCCGTCCCAACTGCACCCCAATGCCTTGGTTTTCATCCGGGCTTTCGAGGTGGTGTGTTTCTACCTCTCGGTGGAGCCGACGGTACCGTTATTTTTCCGCATCTTTCACCTGCAGCGGCAGACGGTGAATGGCCGCCACGGATGGGTTTCTTTTAAGCAATCGACCAAACTTTTCAAAGCGTATAGCGATTCTGTCAAAGATTTCAAAAACCGGTTCTACCTCGTCAAACCGATCACGCAGCACGGCTCGGACACTCTCTTCGACGAGGGCGAGCGAACGGTAGATGGCCAGCGATTCCGCGCGTGGCTTCCTAAGATACATCTGCTGTGGACTGCGGAGCATTTCAGCCGAGGGACGGATAGGTATATCGTCCGGGCGGGGACCCTCGAGGAGAAGGACATGGCCGCCTATTTGAAAATAGTTGCCTTTGTGCGGTCTCTCCCTCCGTCGAAGCTGGTGACGCCCGACGGTCGGTATATTCTTGACGCGCAGGGGAATGTGCGCACCAAGAAGCGTTTGATAAATACCAAGACCCTGCTCGATTGTGCGACCGGGGCGGCCGCTCTGGATTACCTAGGTAGGAATGTTCGCTTTTCTCCCCGTGGTCGGGGCTTTTGACCGTCGCTAACTCTTTTCTCTGTTTTTGCAGCGAATATGTCTTCCGTCGAGGAGCGGGTGAAGCAATTGCGTGCCACTAGGAATGCTGCGGCTCCGAGGACGAGGGTGAGCCAGCTGGTCGGACAGGAGGTCGCGACGCCGGGGGGGCAAAGTTCGTCCTCTTCGCCTCAAGAGAGCCACTCTCCGGCGTCTCAAGGAGCGTCGAAGAGGCAAAGGTCCGAGGAGCCTCGAGGTATGGTGGATCTGACGGTCGGTACCGCTGAGGAAGGTTATGTCGTCCCGCCCTGCCATCAGCATCCGGGCTATTTTCATGGTGTCCGTTCTCCCACTGTCTCCGCTGGGGAGGTGAAGGCTGTTCGTCAGGCCGATCGAGAGACTCGTCGACGTGTCCTGGCTGAGGACTTGGCCGCAATGATGCGGACGTTCACGACGACTCTTGTGCTGAACGAGGAGGGTTGCTCCGCTGCTGAGCTGTCCAAACTGCAAGGGGATCTTACTTTCATGCAGTCGCGGTTGGCCAAGCTCACTGAGGAGTTGGAGAAGAGCCAGAAGGATGTTGCCGAACAGCGGAAACGGGCAGAGGGTGCTGAGGGGAAGGTGACTTCGCTGGAGGAGAAACTGGGGACGACGACGGCCGAGGTGCAGGCGCTGAAGGTTCGCACGGAAGTTTTGGACAGCGCGGTCCGTCCGGCCGAGGACGAGACAGATGGGGATCGACGGTTAATCACTCGAGCTGACCTGATCGCTCGTATCCGGGTGTTGGAAAGCGACTGTCTGGAGGCTGTTGAGGTCGGATTCAAGAGTGCTGTTGAGCAGGTTCAGGTCGTCAATCCTGGTGTCGTGCTGGCTGTGGACGGGATCGGGCCGTACCACGAGATTGTCGATGGGAAGGTGGTCGATCCCTATCTTGTTATTCCCGAGGAGGAACCCACGACTGCTGACCGGGCGGACGAGGTAGTATAGGGTGCCGGGCCTGCGTGCTCGTTGTTTTTATGGCCTGCGTGCCGATTTTTGTGATCTCTTTCTTTGGGCCTGCGTGCTTTGCATTTGTACCATTGACTACTGGGTTGGTGCCCGCTTTTGTTTAATATATTTTTCGTGGATTTTCTAAGTGTGCGCTCGGTGTGTTCGGGTGTTAGCTCGACAATTTGTACCCGGTAGTGCAGGGAACTGGACGGTTTGGCCGGCGACGTAGCCAGGCCGTTTCGGGGGTAGTTCTCCCCGGGGCGTGGACGTCCCATCGCGAGCTGGGTGTCCTGCCTATTTTGGTACGACGGCGAGGAGTCTCGGTCGAGGTATTCCCTGCCGAGCAAGGCCTTCTGCCCGCGCACACGAGAGGCAGGGCTTGCTTTTCTTTGGTCGCTAGTGGACGCGGGGGTGTGCGGTGGTACCATGTCGCCCCCCAGTGGTCGGGACGATGGGTCGTCGCGGGCAATGTTTCAACTGTAGTACCGCTTAAGTTTCGCGGCGTTCCATGGTCGAGCTAGTTGTGCACCGTGCAGGTTTTCGAGGTAATAGGCCCCGTGCTCCGTTTTGTCCCGGACTCGGTACGGGCCTTCCCAGTTCGCAGCCAGTTTGCCCTCGTGGGAGTCTTTCTGGTTTCTGCATAGGACTAAGTCACCTGTTTGAAAATCGCGTTTTAGGACTTTGTTGTTATGGCGAAGTGTGACTTGTTGCTTCAGTCGGGCTTCACGGAGGGCTGCCCCTGAGCGGATTTCTTCGACGAGGTCGAGCTCTTCTCGGAGGGAGCTGTCGTTGTCGTCGGTGTCCAGGGGAGCTTCCGTTCGTCGGGACGGTTCGCGAATTTCGACCGGTATCACGGCCTCGGTTCCGTACGTGAGGCGAAATGGGGTTTCCCCCGTGGTTGAGTGGGGAGTGGTGCGGTATGCCTAGAGGACGCCGTGGAGTTCCTCGACCCATGCTCGTTTGGCGTCGTCGAGTCGTCGTCTGAGGCCTCTGAGTATAAATCTGTTCGCCGACTCTGCCTGGCCGTTTGTCTGAGGGTGTTCGACCGAGGCGAAGTGATGTTTGGTTCCGAGTTTGGTGACGAAGTCGCGGAAGTTTTTGTCTGTGAATTGTGTGCCGTTGTCGGTGACAATGGCGAGTGGGACCCCGAATCTGGCGAGGATGTTGCGTTTGTAGAATCGGAGTATGTTGTGGGCGGTGATTTTGGCCAGAGCTTCGGCCTCGATCCACTTGGTGAAGTAGTCAACGCCCACGATGAGGTATTTGTTCTGGTATGAACCTAGGGGAAAGGGCCCGAGGATGTCCAACCCTCACCAGGCGAATGGCCACGGGAATGAGAGGGACGTGAGCTCGGTCGGGGGCCTTCCCATTTTAGACAAAGCAATAATGCAAAAATTAGAAGACACCTTCTAAATCAAAACACAAAACGAATAAGAAATGTAAGCAACATTCAACTGTGAAAATAAGAAAGTATCCTCCACCAAGATATTCATTAATGGCTGCATGTGAAAATAAAAATCAGTGACCCCTTACATGCACCTTTTTGTACACACCATTACTAACCTCTTTAAATCCTTTAGGAAAATCAACAATAATTTCCTTAACTAGTTTCTGATAAAATGGTCCAACATTCAACACAGTTTTAAAAACCCTAATCATTATTGATAAGCTCCATAATCTCCTTGTATTTTTTATCTTCCTAGAATAGTTCCATTTCACGAGAAATTCTTCTATAGAATACAAACTTCTACTTGGCCAGGATCTCTTCAAAGTAAAAAAGAGACACTCCAAGAGAACAACATAAATATTTTAGGGACGGTTCTTCCCACTAATCCCCTTATTCACTCTTTTTGCAGTTGTTTCAACTATATCTAGAGTGCTCATTGGTATTGTTATTAACATTATTTTGGACATCTTCACTCATAAATTGTTGAGTCCCATTATAATTATCTATGACACCATTCATGTTATTGACATCAATACTAACATCCTGACAGACTTCCACACCATTATCCTTCTCAATGACATAATCCATGACATTGACATCAATACCAAAATCGTGACTGACTTCCATATCATTATCTTTACTATTATCAACAGTGTCGTCTTTGATAACATTTTCACAAGAAAATTTAGGGTCAACATTAGTGGGGGTTTCATACATTGCTTACTATAGCCTGTTTCAACATTCATAATTTTCTCTTTAACAATTGCATTGGGTGTATCATTACAAACATTTAGCATTAAAAAACACGCGTAGACCCAACTACAACTATGAATTTTGGACAGAAAACTTGTCGCAGACATCAGCATAGCTACATCCATAATGGTAGTGCCATCAAAGACTAACAAACGCTGCATCTGCATATCATCTTTCCACCCCTTCTTTCTCTTTATCCTTGTCAATTTCATAACCTCTACAGCAAGGAACGATGACACTTTCACGCCATCTTGCTCAGGCGTCTATGAAACCACTCCAAATAGTGTCTTTCAAAGGAATCTCAAAACTCTTTTATCATATTTATCTTCCAACGCTACTGCCAACAAAGAATTCTACAACGCCACAGTAATAGACAAAAACAACTCCTCCAACACAGTCTATGGTTTATTTATGTGTAACGGTGATGTACCTGCTCATCTATGTGGTCAGTGTGTCACAAATGCGACCAGTTACAACTTATCTTCATACCAGGGCACTGATTGTTCCTTCTCCAAAGAGGTTACGATAATGAATGACGATTGCATGGTACGATATTCCAACAACTCTTTCTTCTCCAAGGTTGACTTAAGTATACTTTCTACCTCTTGCTCCCCTGTCAAAGTGTCAAACCCTGCAATATTTGAGCATTCAGTTTCTGAAGCTTTGAATAGAGTGGCAGATGAGGCAGCCAATTCTTTAATTGGCATCAAGAAGTATGCAACAAAGGAAGTAACGACAACTGAATTTCAAACCTTTTATTTTCAAGCTCGGTGTACACCATATCTTTCGCCACAAGATTGTCGAAAATGTCTGAATACAACCATAACAAATTTAGTTCAGTCTTGTAGACTTGAAAATAACGAAATTAGAATAGGATCCTCTGATACATTCAGTTGTTACATCAGAAATGATGTGTACCCTTTTTATCGCCCTAGTAATGCTACAACCCCACAAGAACTCATTCCAGCTTCTGCTACATTTGATGTGAATGGCAATTTTTAGGCTGCTGAGACTTCAATGCTAGGTCATGGTATTAACTTTGTCTCTTTTATGTTTTGTTTTGATACAACTTTCTTCCTATTGTTAAGGGAGTCATGTTTCGTAGACTTATTTGATAAGTGCAGATTTTAATGTGTGAATTAAATTTAAGCTAATAAACATTTTAATTTTAACAATGAGAAATTTAATTCACACATTAAAATGTTAGTGAAATTATTAATCCCCCATTGTTGATCTTTTGATGGCTTATTTCGCGTATTTTGGATCTAGAGAAATCCGATTAAATGTCATAATGATTGATTAGTGACCTATATTAGAGCATCTCCAACCATGAACTCATTTTTGGGTTCTTTGTGGGACCAATTAAGCCACGTCAGCTTAAAGCAACTCAACTAAATTTTCACTTCTATAGTGCAACTATGAAGAACTCATGTTGGGTCCCACAACTTATAATTAAAATATAGTTTTTATATTATAAAATTAATATTTTAATATTGTAATTATAATTTTCATATGATAATTAAAATAATAAATAAAATTTTATATTAAATTATAGCTTTTAGATTATAAAATTAATATTTTAATATAAGAACCGTTGAAGAACCGTTGCTTAATTAAGAACCGTTCAACAACATGGCAATCTTGAAAACAACAAATATGGGTGCCATGTTGGCAAACCCACCTTAAGAACTCCCATTGGAGTTGGTCTTAAAGTTCGTCATTAACTTATGTGATGATCCAAAACATCAGTGGAGGGTAAATGATGATGTTAAATGATCAGTTAATGATCAAGTCGATTAAGGGATTTAGAAAGATCAATTCATTGTTATGATAATCGATTACTTGACATAAATATAATGATGTTAAAATGCATATTTTGATTAGTAGTTATAGGTTCAGATTTAGTTCTAAACACACAACATTGTTAAATCTATTTTTCTATTATAAATGATTAAGTGATAGGTCACTTAATTAAAATAATTAATTTTATTGTTTATAATAATAATTAAATATGTTGGTGATGAGTTAATTGGTTGCGACATACTCAAATTATATAAATAATTAAGGAGTAATGCTAACGTAATTTATTTTTAGAAATTGTGTATTTATTTTATCAAAATTTATAATTAATTATTTTATTATTTTTTTTAATACAAATATTTTATTTATAGAATTTTTAACATGTGCTCCTAAGACACAAGTTAACATTATCCATAATTAAAAATGTTACAATTTACTTTTGATATACAATTAGAAGTATAAGTTTGATAAGATATGTAATTAAAAGTAAAATAAATGAGTTTGGTAAAAATTTAATTTTCTCTCCGCGATCACGTGAAACATCATATTATTTTCACTTCACATATTTAAATTCATTGGTATTTAAAATGTTGGTTGTAAGTGATCAATCTTTCATCAACCATATCAAATCAAACAAAATAAACAGTACGGTATTATAAAACAAATACTACAAAACATAACAACTTAAGAGAAATCAAATTCATAAAAATTAATATTTTACAAATATCTTTACGTGTGAATATGCGCTTTTAAATCTAAATGATCCGGATATAAACTGTCACACAGGCAATCCGTCGTAAAGGGAAAAGATGCATATGTCATGAAATGCATATGCACTCCACAAAATTCTACAAACCATCATTAAAGAAAATCATTTTAAAATTTATTTCACAATCATTTATCTCTAAACATAATCGACTAGGACAATTCCTTTTATTCACATCAAAACCACACACAATAATAACAATAACAAACAACGAAAGTTTCATCCATATCTTATCATCATATTCAAAAACACAACATATAAAACTAATATGTATATCGAATATAATTATATTTCAATTCTCTCTTCAGAACAATTATGCATTATATGATTTTATTCTATTATATCTAGGCATAATTAGTCTCCATGTCCCTTAAGTTAATTTTAAGTTTCGTTTTAGTCCCTTAATAAAAATACGTTACACTTTGATCCTTTAATATTAGTTCCGTTAGAATTATTGATCTATTTCGTTAGTTTGGCTGAGAAAACATTAATATTTGTCATTGTGGCGTGCCAACTAGGTAATGACTCAACAAAAGGATAAAAATAAGACATAATTGGTCTATATATATATATATATATATATATATATATATATATATATATATATATATATATATATATATATATATATATATATATATATATATATATATATATATATATATACATACATACATACATACATACATACATACATACATACATACATATATATATATATATATATAATATATATATATATATATATATATATATATATATATATATATATATATATATATACATACATACATACATACATACATACATACATACATACATACATACATACATATATATATATATATATATATATATATATATATATATATATATATATATATATATATATATATATATATATATATATATATATATATATATATATATATATATATATATATATATATATATATATATATATATATATATATATATATATATATATATATATATATATATATATATATATATATATATATATATATATATATATATATATTGTTCCGGCCTGGGCCCGACCTCGGCAGGCCCAATATCACGTACGGCCCAATAGGCGAATCGGGCACGCCGGGCACGTGCGTCCCACGAGACGAGCAAAGAATACCGCCGAACACGAGCAGCGCTTCCAACAGCAGCTCGTCATCCACCTTACCAGCCGAGCAGAACCAACCCCGGCACACCAAAGCGCGACCGTGGTTCCTCCCCTCCGCGGGGAGAACAACGCGCTCCGGGGTATCTCGCGAGCTCCCCTCCGCGGGGAGAACAACGTGCCTGGGACACGTCATCAACCAACTGCCCACCTCCGAAAGAGCAGGTCAAACCCACTTTCCGGAGATTTAGGAGCAGTTGGACTAGGGCAAAGACCACGTTCCGGTCTTCACTACGCCATGTAAGCCCTAGCAGTCATTAGGGTTGGGCTTGGTCATCCAGCCCATCTCAAATGACCGTTGGCCCAGCGCTGGGGTCTCTCTATAAATACCCTCTTCCTCAAGAGGGTCAGGTAATTCACATCTTGCCCTTTCTGTACTTTGCTCCCTCTCTGCCCAATTTCTTACTTTGGCATCGGAGTGTCTTGCAGGTACACCCCCTCCTCCTCCTCATCACCGGTGAACAGGTAGCAGCCCAACAGCGTGTGGCCAGACCGTGATCCCCTCCTAATCAGGTCAGATCAGTGGCGCCGTCTGTGGGAAACTGAAACTTCCCCGTTACTCCGAGCAGAAAACCAAAAGTTTCACCAAACCTCCACGATCATGGCTAGTCCACACCGCGACGGCACTCCGCACGACCTTGTGCTCAACGTCGCCACCAACGGGAACAAGCAGACAGGAACGGCACGTCCGGCGGAAACCGACGAAAGGGACGGGCAAACTGCTTCACCATCATCCGCGGAACGGCCCCTTCAGGCCGATCACCGGCCCCCGAGCCCGCCAGCATTCCACCCCGTTCCCATCCCGGCGGGAGCGGACCCAACGATGACCGCTCTCTTTACAGCCATCAACCAGACGAACCAGCTGCTGTTCCAACAAAATGCGAGGATTGGGGCATTAGAACGCATCGGCCCTCCGAGGTACCCCCCGCAGGAAGACCAGAACGGAGGTTCGAGGAGTCCCTCGCCTCGACCCAGAAATCGCCGGCCGCGGCTGGAGAGACACCGCCCGCAGGTGACACGAGAACGCACCAGATCCCCAGCAAGACACGTTCGCGTGAGGAACCAAAGCGCCGCGGCGATCCCGACCGAAGACCCCCGGGGCGAGAACTCAGGCAGGAGATCGAGAACCCGAAACCAGGGGCTCACCTTGAACGGCTCATCTCCCCATAGATCCTCGACGCCCAGCGACGAGGACGACTACTGCACCCCGCTGTCCCGGGAGATCATGGCTGCCCCCATACCCCAAGGGATGGAGAAACCACCGACGCTGTCGACGTACGACGGCACCTCCGACCCGGACGATCACCTGGAAGACATCGAGGCTATGCTCGACTACCGAAACGTCCGGGGAGCTATCAAGTGCAGACTCTTCCCGACGACCCTGAGGAAAGGCGCTATGACCTAGTATAAAAGTCTGGAGCCCGAATCAGTTACGTCATGGAGGGTCTTGAAGGACCTGTTCTCCAAACACTTTACGGCATCCCGACGCCACCCGAAGACAGAAGCAATCCTCGGGGCGATCATCCAAGGCCCCGACGAACCTCTCCGGAAGTACATCGAGAGGTTCACTCGGGAAGCGGTGCAGGTGACAACGTCCGACGAAATGAAACGCTACTTAATGGAACAAGGCCTGCGCCACGACTCCAAGTTCTACGAGGCCGTAGGCATACACCGGCCAACATCCCTCCAAGATTTCCTCGACAGAGCCGCGCATTACATCCGATTCGAGGAAACACAGGCAGCCAACTCCGCTCGTGACACCCGAGACAGGGAGGCCCCCCGCGGGCACCGAGACGACGGAGCTTCGAGCCATCGACGAGGAGGAGACCGCCGTCGAGAAGACCGACCCGCGAACCCTGCGACCAACGCGAACCGCGCGGCCCGACAGGCAGATTCACCGAGTACACGGCCTTGGTCGCTTCACACGAGCGCATACTGGCCGAATGCGCTAAAACCGAGTTTATACAGGGAGGTGTCCGTTTTCCGCGACCAACGCCCCCCAAACCCAACGTAGACAAGTCAAAATACTGCCGATTCCACAGGAGCCACGGGCACGTGACGGAAGACTGCATCCATCTCAAAGATGCGATCGAAATTCTAATCAAAGACGGGCACCTGAAGCGATACACCCGAGGAGGCGAACCACCTAGGCCAGAAGCTCCAGAAGCCAAGAAAGTCGAGGAACTTCCCTCCCCAGAGGACAACAGCAGGCTCCAGGTCGCGTTGTGCATTGGCCGCCCCGAA